TCAAATAAAAAATAATCTTAGTCTTAAAAAAAATAAATTTTAATTTCTAATAGTGTGATTTAATTTAAATATTAACTTATTAAATAATTGTGTAAATTATAATTGTATTCTTAATTTTTAATTAATAAATTGATAAATAATTATTTTATAAAAACGGAGTATTATTTATATAATTTTTCACAAAAATACAAAGATTTAGTAAATTAAAATCGATATCAAAATTAATTGTAAAAATTAATATTAAAAAAACCGGAAAAAGATGTAATATAAACCGGCGGTTCAAACCGTAACCGACGATTTTTAAACCAAAACCGGCGGTTTATAAACCGCAATGAAAACCGTCAAACCATAATCAAAACTGTCATTCGGAAGGTTCGGTTTCGGTTTGAAATTCTGACAAATCGTAACCGGCGGTTTGTAACCATAACAGGCGGTTTGAACCATTCTGGCAAGTCTACCTCCAGCGAAGGCAGCACAGGGGGACACGTTCAAACATCCCCCAACGACGCTCCAGTATGGTAACATAATCATACTGAGCAAAAGAAACAAAAACAATAACCCCCGGATGAGAAAGTGGCTGAAGGACCTTGGCAGTCCTCGGGGCAGGCCACCATAAGGCCACCGCCACATCAGGAACATCCGGGGAGCAGCGGGTACGCACCATTGGCATCTGAATTGTAAAACAATCCTTTGTTCGGTGGCATGAGCGCGCCCACATCACCCACGGGGCGAACGGTCAAGGAAATGCCCCTGCCAGAGGAGGAACTACTGACCCTTGGAGGGCCTGGCCCACCACAGCCTCAAAACCTTCGGCTGCTCCTCCGGCTCCGGGGATGACTTGGGGGCACCCGCCCCACCTCCGAACCTGCCTTGGGCGGCAACTTATGCTCATCCGGATCCATGGGGATCAGCTCTTTCGGCTATAACAGTGGCTTGAGGTACACCAGTTCCGGCCGTGCCGCCTCCACCTGGGAGGGCAGGCAGCATACCAAGAAATTTCCCCAACCGAAACAACCACACAGCAGGGGTACGGACTTCCACAACTACTATCTCATCCAAGGGCAGTGGGTATGTACCACCAGCGTTCCAATGGCACAACAATCATTTGTTCGGTGGTGTAAGCGTGCTGATATCACCCGCAGAGGTGAACGGTCAAGGAAACATTCATGTCGGAGGATGATCTATTGATCCTTGTAGGGCATGGCCGACCACGGCTTCAACACCTCCGGTCACCCCATCAACTCTTGGATCACTTAGGGGCATCTGCATCACCACTGAGTATATCTTGGGGGATAGCCCAACCTCCTCCGGGACCCTGCGGATCAGCCCCTTCGGCCGTTGCAGTGACATGGGGATCAAATGTACCAACTCCATCGGCGTCGCCTCCGCATGGGGGGCAAGGAGCATACTATGAGGTAATATTTTTTTAGGCGTCCGGGCAGCTCCAAGATTATGGATGTCCATATTAGGGGGTTTTGGTACCATTTTGAAACTTTCCGGCTCTGGCGGCGCCACAAATGACTTAGTGGGCAGCTCCGACTCCTCTGAGACCACCACCAGCTCCACGGATAACTCAAGAGGTATCTCTGGCAGCACATTCAGCGGCAACAGCACCACAGACGATATGGGAGGTGCATCCGGTGGCACTTCCAACTCTAGACACTACCCGGAGGACAGCCCCGCCACCTTCGGCAGCAATTCCAGCTCCAAACGCTGTCCGGAGAATAGCCCCTCCACCTCCAGAAGCACTTTCAGCTTCGGATATTACCCGAAGGACAGCTTTGCTACCTTCAAAAGCGTATCCAACTCAAAAAATTACCAAAAAGGCAGCCTCGGTGAGGCCACCACCTCCGAGGGTGGCAAGGTATGTAGATCCGCCACCTCTTGAAGCACATCAGCGCTGGGAGGGACATGGAAAGACTCACTGGCTCCAAGAGGGTCTACTCTGTCAAATCTGGACATAATGGCCTCATATTCGGGCAGACCAGCAACAACTCCCATGCAGCCCGGAAGACATGCAGAAATACTCTCACCACCACAGCCGGTTATTGATCTGCAGGCGATTGCAGAGGTAAGACGAAGAGTATACGCCGACCCCGTCCAGTTACCCACAAGGCTGTACTATAACGGTCATTCCCGGATCAGATTACTATCAACCATCCTCTCCACCGGAATGTTCAGACCCCGGAGTTCATGTTTTTTGTCTGGGAGAGGACTCGCGCTCAACAATTGAGCATGTCGATCGGTTCACGGCGCAATGCAGAGGGGACTTCTGGGAAAATGAGTGGTACGAGCTCCAACTATTTCCGTTATCCCTCACCGGACCGGCCTTCGCATGGTATAGATCTCTCCCTCCTAATTCATTTCATATATGGGAGGACCTAGTAAGGGCATTCCACGAGCAGTTTTACAGTCCGCTTCCGGAAGTGACCGTATCTAACTAAACTAACCTATGGTAAAAACATGATGAGCCGGTAGAAAGTTTTTTGGAAAGGTTTCACAAGGCAGAAGGTCAATGTCAGGTGCGGATACCCGAAAACCAAGTTGTTGACATGCCGGTTGACAATATGATGTGTCAACTTCGTGACAAATTGGCCTTTCAAAAGTATAACGATTTCCAACAGCTTTTCGCAAATGCGGCCAAGGCGGACCAGCTTCTGTGGGAAGTTTGTGGCAAAGATCATTCATCGCATATGAAGGAAGGCAATTTTGATGTCGATGAAGGATCTGATCGAGCCCTTGTGACCATTCAGCCGTCTCATGTGTTGATCAATACTGTCGGAGTACACCCAATGAAACCTCGCGCATCAATACCAAGGGCCGACGAAAACCGGAGGAACCATAGCGACATATTTTTGGAAATCCATTTTCAAAAGAATGGAAAGACATGGAGGGTGGCCTCAGTGGACCGAGTGGTGATAATCTTTCATCCGACACGGCGTTACAAGCAGCCCCCAACGGATGAGCGTCGGGCATGCGACCGGAGGAAGAAGAAGACGGGAGCGCAAAGACGGATGAAGCAACATCGGCGCCGGACAGCTAGTTTCGGTCAAAAGAAAATGGGGCAACAAGGAGTTGAGTTCGAGCAGCAGACCATGCAGGGACATATCAGAATAAAAATATGTTGGACAAGAGTGGTTTGCAATGTCCACGCCGAATCCGACAAGAGTGAAGGCCAAAACAAGTTATTTTGGACAACAAAGTTGTCCCGGATAAACAACCACTTCGGAGGATCCAAAAGCTCTAGGTACGGAGGACAAACCTATTATTAGGGCTCTCGAAGATGATGGAATTTTAGAGGCCAGTCTCGACATCATAGCCAACAATCGAGACTTTCGGCGAGCCCTACAATACGAAGACGACTTCAAAGTCGAAACGGTTGGATTTTTACCGAGAAAATCAAGAAGCTTTAATCCAGCCGCCGCACTTCCCAACAAATCTGACTCTGAGATGACTCGGACCAGCCCCTTGCCGCTACTGGATGAGGCCATATGAAGTTCGGACCAAGGTACCATCGAAATTTCATACAAAAATATTAGGCTTCAGAGTTCAACAAATTTTTTACCCAAATATTTTTATGGTGGGCATTTGTTACTGCCTAATTTTCATGTCCGATGAAGAGCAGCGCCCAGCCTACAAAGAAGCTCAGTCCAGCCGGGAGGCCCACCACAAATGAGAGTTAGATTAGTCTAAAAGCCCACTCCGGATGAAAATAAATCTAATTTCGATACAGAAATATTAAAGGGAGTTGGAAAGTTGAAAAATAAGTGGGATTGAGTAGGGAGAGAAATGGAAAGTTGGTTTCTAAAATACGAAGGAGATGAGAGAATTGGAGAACAAAATAAATTCAAAGTATTTAAAAGGGGCAAATTATTGAGAAAAAGAGGAACACGGCCAGCACCATCACATTCCACATTTCATTTCTATGTATATATATTTTTTTATTCTTGTTTTTTTGCCAAATTATTTTCCTTCATCCATCTTACTTTCCTTTACAATTTCGTTTATGTTTGATTACATTTAATTGTTTTGCTCATTTGAATTCCAATTCCAATTTTGTTTCATTCAGCCGTCTTCTTCGTCCATTTAATTCAATTTCTTTTATTTTTCCATAATATTAAATCGGCAAGATTCATTTACTGTAAGCGATTCATCCGCATCTGTTTGCGCAACGATCTTTATTGCGAGACTAATCTTGATACTTTCTTTAGTAGGCCGGAGAATCCAATTCTGATCGATTTCGATTGGCCTAAATTTGTTGGGCCATCATCGATGAATTTCAACGAAAATAGTGTTATATGTATAATTTTATATATTATATTGTAATGTATACATATATTTATTGTGCTAAAAATTTATAATATATTCGTTATATGTTAAGTTTTCACGCTGTCAAAATATGAAGCATAAATCCAAATGCATGTCTAGAAATAAGTATTATGATGTAATTTGTCTTCATTTTTCTCATTTTTTTAAAAAGATTTTGATTTGAAATCAAACTAAATCAAAGTTTAAAAATAATTATAAAAAAAAATGAATTAAAAAAATATTTAATGTAAGGCTTACAACTAAAAAAATAAAGTATTTGATTTAATTATTTTTATTTTTATTTTTATTTTTTTCGAAAAAAAAAAAGGATGGGATGGAGGGGAGTAAGGGGAATGAGATATAGTGAGAAGCCAAACATAAAGGACAGAGATCATAATGCTTGCCAAACACATGAATATGAACCAAATATTCTTCCGCCGAAGTCCTGACTTGACTTGTAATAGAAATCCAAATTTCAAACTTCATAATTAAGGGAGGCATAGTACAGTATTAAATCTTTTTTATTGAATGAGCATGTTTACCAGATCCAAATTGTATTTCAATTTCTTAAATATAATATTGTAGTTGATAAAGTATTTTTTTTACCAGATCCAAATTGTATTTCAATTTCTTAAATATATTATAGTTGATAAAGTATTTTTTTTTTTTCCAGATTGAAGGAAATGCTCACAGACAACTTATTACATTACATGGTAATAACATATTTGTATCCTCGCCATCATATGATTCTGAGGCCTATACTATACTATACACATTTGAATAATGAATGAAGAAATGTAATAATGATAATATAAGAATTAAGCAACACAACAACTTAATTATGTGGAAGAATAAGAGACAGAGAGCATACGGAGAGCACCGGTTCTAGCGGTTCTAGCTCAAATCGACACGAGAGAGCTTGCCCAAGTATGTATGTATATGCGGCTGCTACAACTAGACAACACCTGCACAAAGACAAAATCCCGACAATCTGTTGTGTAAGATTAATAGTACAAGGGGCATGGACTTCCATTGCTTTGGCAAGAAAGAAACGTAGCGTACCACATCTAAAATGCCGAACAGATGTGCTTATTATGTGTGTTTGGAAGGTGTATACAGAAGAATTGCTGGATTAAGTTCCTGCAGGAGCCTCTGCGGACGTGCTCTGGAAATTTACAGTACTATTAGGAATGAATGCAGCAGCAAAGGTAAGGAAATAAATGAAGTATTAATAACGCATGTGTTTTTTAGTCGGAGAATTTGTACATGAGATGCAGATTTAGAAGAAATATCTTCACTATTCGAAGATTTGGCAGAGGAGTTCTTAGAAGGAGAAGCATTGGCGCCACCACCTTCAGCTCCAGTCAATTTAAGGAGTGGATCTTTTTTAAGATTGTCAGACTCGCCTTCAGCCATAGGCTTCACCTTCTGTATCAAAAGTATGTACAAGAAAGTCTACAGTAGTGAAAAGATTAATAGCAGTGCTGTGCATATAATAGTCGAGGATCTCCCACGTTACCTGGAAAATTTTGCCGAGGGTCTTCAACCCCTTGGCACGCATTCGAAGCTCTTCTTTCTTTGCACTGGGGTCTACCAGAACCTTAAAGCATAGATGCACCACCATCAAAAAAGTAATATAAGGAAAAGGAAAGTTCGTTATGCGAAGAAGATAAAGTCTCCTGACGAACCATGTGGCAAACGTGAGAGAGGGTTGTTTCTATATCAGCCACGTTCAGCTTCCATAGAGAGTCTATCATTAACTTCTTGTGGGATTGGATGTATTCTTCAAGCTCCGCCTCTGTGTAATTTCCTTCTGCGGTCAGCTGTCGCTTCATATCTTCTTGCAGCTGAATTAACGCAATTGCACCTATAATAACAGTAGGATTGTAATCGTCAGAAATAATTGCCTATCAAGAGAAATTTACCTTAGTTTCGATAAAAATTGTGCATTATGATAAGCCTTCGTGCAAGAAGCCTAATTGACATCGTCGAGAACATGAAAATTATAAGATTCTATAGGTACTATTTTCTTGCTCGTTCTCTTGAACAAAGGAAACAAAACTATCCTAAATGCAGTTGATTAGAATCCAATAATCAATTTGTAAGTACTTCAGTACTATTAAATCTAAGGTGTGCTAGGTTTGATGTGACATTGATCCATAGTCCATACCACACACATTGAGACAAAAAAAAAAAAATCAGAAAATTGGGTGACACACCAAACATAATTCTAACCTGTTGCAGCAGTTACTTGGGATTTAATGAAGTGTCCTTTATTCCTGAACCATTCTGCAACAAATGGCACACCCAAGTACATCACCTTCTTTCCGAGCTCTTTTGCAGCCTGCCTTGAATATATATAGCCAATGGTACTTAGCATATCCGCCCCATAAGCTGAGATAGAATATTTTAGTTTATAAGAGAAGAGAAATTCTAGAAGTAGCATGGTAGATAAACGACACTAATGAGGAGATGGACGTAACAATTTTCTGAACAAAAGAGGCAAGGGCAATCACTGTACAAGTATAGACTGCCAAGAAACATAGTTAACTGAACAATTTGTTGATAGATATTTTTATCCTTTAGTCACAGACTCACCACACCAAATAAGATCTAGTACACCTCCAACAAGCCACAAGGCTAAACTACTCTTTGTTTGTATAACAGTTTTCAGTAACTGCAAATATTCTAGAGAAATAACTTGGTGTTAACTCTTTCAGGAGAAGTTAGTCGGATAAACCATCGGGCTTTATCAGGACCATCAGCTTTGTACCACAGTTTTATTAGCAATTTCAAGTCAAATATTTCACCTATTTCCTTGGCAAAACTAACAAACAAATCATTTCTTAAAATGATTGGAAGCCCAACCTTTTCATAATTTAACAAGAACAAGCAATAGAAGAAGACAGACAATAGCCATTTTCCAGAAATAGCCTTGATTAAACAGTAAAATTTGCTATCAGTAGCTCAAAAGAATCAGATGAAAACCAAATATCTTACCAGCGCCTGAAAGTTTTGCCACTTCAGCCTCAGCTTGGCGAACATATTCTTCTTTATGTCCTTGAACATACAGATTAAGACGACCTTTCAGTATACCAGCCAACTTCTCTTCCCTCTCCTTCTGGATAGCCTAAAGTTGCAATAGAAACACTCTTTAGCAAAGAATAGTAAAAATAATGAGTCTTGTATGCACGCAGAATGTTAACCACGAGTTAACAAACATATTAAACACGTAGTAGCACCGTGGTTGCCATAACTGTGTGTATCAGCATGAAAACAAAAAATTACAGCACACCTGGTTTGTTTACCCAATGTCATCATCGACCCATGTATGAGGGACTAGTCTTGGCCTATTCACTAGATATGTTACTCACAAACAATACATGAATATCCCTACCAAATGCTATCAACAAGATAAGAAAAATGGTCTTCATCCTCCTTGCAACTACACTAGTGCACAGGAAATTTCGTTGTTTAAACTCAGTAACAATCACGGCAAACTAATCTAGTCTAACCAGGAAGTTAATCATATTACTTGTTATGCCACGTATGAATCTTCTTTTTCAAAATGATTTCTCCATGAAGGAATGCTACACAGAAAACCAAGGGAGTTGGGTGTGAAGACCTCTCTCACTTTACTGAAAGCATTCTCCCCCTCAACAACTCAAAAGGAGACAAAACGGCAAAGTGAGAGAGCATGTGAATTCTAGCCACAAACTCATGTACTCTCATCCTCACTACAGTACACAAATTATGCTCTATAAAGGTAGTACGTATCATTAGCACAATAGCAGGTCAACATCTTCAGCTTGCTTTAAACCCATAGTCCTATTCAGAAATAGACACCCTGGCCCACTTTTTCATATATATAAAATGTCTAGTACATTAAGGAATTTCTTTGGAGAATCAAGCAGCCTTTCTATATATATATCAAATGCTTCAAGTGTGAGAAAATAAGACATTACATATCTGAGTGTTAGAGCAAACCGCATAAAGAAGAGGCCAACTTCACTTGCATGGAAGAAGCAAAGCCTACACTCCTATAGTCAGAAATGGAGACGAAGGAGCTCAAGCAAGAACCTCAATTCAGCCACAACAAATCCACAGTTGACAACCTAGCTTTAGATTTCCCTTTGGATGATCGCAAAGAGTCGCCCATCCTCAAATTATTCCAGGGCAAGCACGCTTAACTCTAGAATTCTTTTAGTAGGGCTCTCGAACAAATGTTAACCCATTATGGAATTGAAAAGGATTCGTTTATACTGCAGTATGACAACAACTGTGCAATTAACATTTCAAAAAATCCAGCCCAGCATAGTGAACGAAGCACATAGAGATTCGATACCATTTTATTCAAGAGCTAGTGGAAGCTGAAGTGTGCAAATCGCTGCATATTGGAACTGATTTTCAGAGCGCTGATATCTTCACCAAAGCCTTGAATTCCGAACGATTTGAAAAATTGAGAAGGGAATTAGGTATGTATTTATACCTTAACTAATTCGATTTATTGAAGGAATTAGGTCCAATATTTATGGGATTTTATTTGGTTATATATTGGAATATTGGATATTTAAAAGAAATGAGAAAATTGTGGCTTGATTTTATTAGAATAGAAATATATAGGCTTTTATAGACTGTGCAGTCTACACACCTTGGGTAAAGGAATTGTTATTGACACTGCCCTCTCACATCTCACGCTCCTATTCTGATGGAGTGCAATAATAATGGCGTGTTAAGGGTTTGTTCATTTTTGTATTTCTATATTCAGAATCAGAGAGTGTTCTCTATCCCTATTTCTCTCAAACCCTAATTTTCAAAATCGTGAGAAGTTTTGTCTCAAAATTCAAAAATGGTGAAAACTCATTCGGGAGGTACATCTAAAGATGTTAAGCCAAAGATTTCATCGAAGAAGAAGGTTGAAGCTTCTAAGAAAACGAAGAAAGCAAACGAACCCATTCTGTTTTAGTCCTTGAAACCGTTGATGAACGTGGGAATATGGAGGAACAAGTTCGTGGTGTCGAGGATCGAACAGCTGCTGATGTTCATGCTGAAGAAACTATTTTCGTAACCTCAGGAGATTGCCCTGTATCTGAGGGATTTGAAGGGCAAGTTCAAGAAAGTGCTATTGTTGCCCAGATTGATCTTAACCAATAAGCAACAATGGAAACCGTAAATAAGGGTGCTCAAGATGAAGTTGATAGGATCATTGATTAAGTTGATAGGATCATTGATGAAGTTGTTGGGGAAGTTGTTGGTGAGCAACAAGGAAATGCATTGGAGATTGGCACTGGTGCCGATGGTGGTGCAGATATTGATGCAGCTGCAGAGGATGTCCCTGTTTCTGCTGAAATTCAAGGTGAACAGATTCCTGAAAATATGGCTGACGATGTACCTAAAAATGATGACCCAGAAGAGTCCCAACCCGCCGGTGCGGAAGGTGATCCAAATGAGACCGGTTATGCTGTTCATGCTGAGCATCAAGAGGAAACTGAAGTTTAAGTGAATGAAGCTAATGAGGAAGAGGAAGACCTTAATTCTATTCGTTTGTCGTCTGCTCTAGACCGTGTTCGAAAAATAAAGTTCGGTGGATCATCGAGAGCCAATCCCCTACCGGAGCCGTCTTGTCCATCGAAACGGAGACTTCAAAAGTCGAAGTCTCCCGTTGGTGTTCGCGAGAATAAAGCCCTTAATGAGACGTATTATTATGGCTCAGGCCGAAGGTATGCACTCGAAATCCTTGTGGTAGAACTTTATTGCTGAAGCTTTAGTTTACTCACAAAGCTTATTCCGAAATTGTCTTTTGAGCATTTTTTAAGAAACATTATTTGTTGTTTTGGGCTACTGGTCTTGACCGTTACTGTCCGAGATCAGTGAAGGATTTCTACGCTAATTTGAGTGGCAAAGTGTTGGATCCTACAACTCTTGGGTATCACAAAGCGTACATGCGTGGAAAGATTATAGAACTTAGCCCCGTGGTGCTCAATGCACTGTTGCTGCTACCTGCCAACGACGTCAATAAGCTGGCATCCGAATTACTTAAGGAGTCAACTAGAGAGATTGCACAGACAATTTCAGCTGGGAATGCAGTTACATTTGGCCGTTCTGGAGTAACTGTCGTGATGCTTACCATGAAGTGTCAATGTTTGTTTCGATTTTGTGAATGCAACGTGTACCGACGGTGAACACAGTGCCGTTAGTTCAAATATGGGTACTTTAATTTATGCTATTGATAAGAATTTTGAGTTGATTAACTTTGGTTTTTTGGTGATTAAGAAGATGATAGATTTCTGTTCGGATTCGAGAGTGAAGTGGACTTGATTGCCCTACCTGGGCGTGATAAGCTTGTATATCACTTCCTATGGAATTCACCCTGAGCCAGAAGAAGATATGTCTGCCATCCGATTGTTCCTGGATCAATCTAACCTGAAACAGCTCCACAATGATTTCTTAAATGGTGCCCCATTGGGTGCTGAAGGCAGACTTGCTCGTTGCAAATAATTGCCCCAAAATGTGATGAAGGAGCATATTGCCTTGTCTGCCACCTTGATTGAGCAAAAGAGAAGAGTTGCTCAGGCCTTCAGACTGTTGCCCCATTCTAGTGCCCCTGAAGAGGATATGGAGGATGATGATGATGTTGATGAGGAGGCGGACATCCCTTTTTGGCCATTGCTGCAATGCAAGGGGAGAGATGCAGCAGGAGGAGCGCTGGTTAAGGGGGAGTGCCTGTTGTTGCTAGTTTATGCTAATGTTTGCTGGTTTACGTTTCGCTTTTCCTGGTTTATGTTGACATTTTTACTGAACTGCTGGTGGTGTCTGTTGTCAAAACACCCACCTAATTTGTCCAAGTTGTCTGTGGCTTGTTTTATTGTTGGCCTCTAATAACTGCACTGAATTTCTTTGTCTCGTACCTGTATGTTCGAGGTGCGTGTGAGTGGTACTCTATCTTGATGCTTTGTATGCCTTGTTTCATTGCCAAAAAATAGGAGATTGTTATAGTATGCAAAAAGCCATAAACCCCTTTTTGCTGTTTTTGGCCATAAGCAGACATCAGTCAGGTTGTCGCAGCTGTTGTGTAACACAAATTGGGTAATTATACCACAAACAGGTAGCGTGACCACATACCACTTTTGGGCAGGTCAAACCTGCTGATCATTTAATGTATTGGGACAAATCGACTTGTCCCATGTAGAGGACGTGCAAGAGAAGACATTGGCATGCTGCATTCATCGTGCTAGGCATTTATTGCCTTGTACTCATTGTCCCAAGATTACACACAGTCAACCTTGTCTTCTTGTGTGCAAGTTTAGTGTTTTGTATGTATGGATGTGTTTCTGTGGATGATACACAAGAACTTACAGTGTATTTTTCACTCCACCTGATAGAGTGTTGAGAGGTTCATCCATGGAGGTTAAAAGTAACAGGAAAAAAGATTCTTGGAGTCGAAGCTGGACGAGATAACCATCCGATATGCAATCTTATTCTTAGCTTGGCCGCTAGTCTATTGGAGTCGTTATAAAGTAGTATAAACCAGTTCATGAGAGTTTGTAAAACTAAATGAAGCTTGGATAGAAGATAGGTTGGGTAATTTTGTATGGTGTAAACCAAGGGTCTGGTTTAGTTAGGACTCTTAGATTGGAATCCCCTAAACGTAGGTTAGAAAATCGAACTGGATAAACAAACCTTGTATGTTGTTTTCTTTGTTGCACTTATTCAGCCATGGATTTGCGCACGAATACACTGCAGTTTCAACCACGCAACTACGCTGTAAAGCTGTGTTTACGTCAAAACATTTCTCAGTTCCGCTATGCAAGTAACTCGGAGGAGTTAGACTTCTTATTCGATCGGCCTATCGATTTCTAACATTCTGCACCAATTTTTTCTTCGTTTGCAGTTCCTGATCCTCTTTTAGAGTCTGATGATTCTCCGCCCACACCTCCCGTAGCTCCAGAGTACCTGCCTATTGCTCTTCGAAAAGCTAAACGCCAGTTTGTCCATCCCATTGCCTCAGTTATTTCTAGTGACCATTTATCACATCGATCATGTTTGTTTGTTTCCACTCTTGACTTTATATCTATTCCTAAGTCTTTTTCCGAGGCCTTATCTCATGTTGGTTGGCGTGCTACTATGATTGATGAGATAAATGCACTGGACGCTTACGGCACATGGGGTGTGGTCCCTTTACCAGAAGGGAAACAATTGATTGGTTACAGGTTTGTCTATGCTGTTAAGTTTAACTCTCATGGTTCTATTGCTCGCCTTAAAGCGCGATTTGTGGCTAAAGATTATGCTCAAACTTACGGTGTGGACTATTCTGAGACTTTTTCTCCGGTAGATAAGTTGACTTATGTTCGTATCTTGATCTCTTTAGTTGTACGTCATGATTGGCCATTGTGGCAATTGGATGTAAAAAATGTTTTCCTTAATGACAATCTGGTCGAGGATTTTATATGGAGCAACCTCCGGGCTTTGTTGCTCAGGGGGAGTCGGAAAAAGTGTGTTGTTTGCAGAAGTCATTATATAGCCTAAAGCAGAGTCCTCGGGCATGGTTTGGCAAGTTTAGCCACGCGATAGAGGAATTTGAGATGATAAAGTGCAAATCAGATCATTTTGTGTTTTATCGTCATACCGATTCCGAATCAAATGATAAATTTTTGCCTAAAGACTTTGGTGAGCTACGATATTTTCTAGGAATCAAAGTATTCCAGAAAAAGAATGGTATATTTCTCTCTCAGCGGAAATATAATCTTTATTTGTAGACTAAAATGGGAAAGATTTGAGCTAAACCATCAAGTGCACCTATGACACCGAATCAAATATTTACAAATAAAGGAAAAACAGTTGAGGAGCCTGACCAGATATAGCTTACCCGTTTAGTATGGTAAGTCAGTTCATAAGTGCTTCTACAATCCAACATTGAGAGGCTTTGGAACAAATTTTGGGGTATTTGAAAGGTGCTCCAAGGCAAGGGTTATTGTACAAGAACTATAGGCACAACCACATTAAATGTTTTTTCTATGCTGATTGGGCAGGCTCTAAAGTTGATCGTAGGTCAACCTCTGGAGACTGTGTGTTTATAGATGGTAACTTGATTTCGTGGAAAATTAAAAACAGAATGTTATATCGAGATCAAATACAAAATCAAAGTATCGAGCGATGGCGCATTCCGTACGTGAGATTATATGGTTGAGTTTTCACATCTCAGTCAACACAATTATGGTAATGACAATCAAGCAGCTCTAAATCTTGTATTCCATGAGCAGACCAAACATATTGAAGTTGAGTGTTATTTTATTCAGGAGAAGATTCAAAGAGTGGTGGTCACATGTCATGTAATAAACGTGAGATCAAGTTGGAGATCTACTAACCAAACTTTACCTAGTCCTTGTCTTAAATATCTTTGCGACAAGTTTGGCAAGATCAATATCTATACTCCAACTTGAAGGGGAGTATATATATATTTATATATAGTGTTAGACATATTTATATATATTAGTTAGTATTTAATTATATTGTGGGTTTTGACCCAAAACAAATTAGGACTGTACATATATATAGATGTAATTTTATTGTATTTTTTAATTTAGTGAAATAAACTTAAGTTAACAGATAAAACATACTACAACTTATTTCTCTCTCATATTAAATGTTTCTCCCACACATGCTTACATCTTATTTTATATTATTTTCTAATCATGTCTCCTTTTTCATTAATTTCCCCCACTAATCCTCTTAAACACCGTATAAGGTTTATCTTGCTAAACAAACAATTCTTTAGGAGAAAGTACACTACATTAATTAAAAAGAGAAGAAACGGAGTTAAGACAAGCAAAAGCACAAACTGCCATATTATTCTCTACTCTTGGAATAATTAAATAAGCCACCAAATACAATTATTTATAGTGGTGTTATGTGTTTCGGGACAAGTTTTCAGGAGGATGATTGGACGTGCTAAAGTAAGGGATAACCTTTATTACCTTGAGATGCCAAGCCAAATGAACCTAGTCCAAAGTAAAGGTCTAATGTCAGGAACCCATCAATCCAATATGGAGAAAATTCATCTTTATTGTCGTTTAGGACATCCATCATCTAGGGTTTTTGAGCCCTTGTTTCCCATATTGTTTTTGGATTTAAACATTGAGGAATTTCATTCTGATGTGTGTGAACTTGTCAAACATAAGCGAATGCCTTTCCTCATTAGTAATAAACAAAGTTCTATTCATTTTCACCTCATTCATATTGATATCTAGGGTCCTACCATTTATAGTTCCTTTGTAGCACAATGGTTTATTTCTTGCATTGATGATTGTACCCGTATCACTTGGTTGTTCCTATTGAAGTCTAAGTAACAATGGTGAGAAATCAATTTGGGGTCTATGTCAAGAGATTTAGGTGTGACAATGTTTGGCATTATTTCAACCAAATACTCACTTCTTACTTTCAAAATAATGGGATTATTCATGAGTCATCTTGTGTAAATACTCCACAACAAAATGAAGTAGAAATAGAAAAGATGGTGACCTCCTCAAGAAGACTCAAGCAATGTTGTTTCAGAACATTGTACCTAAAACTTTTTGAGAAGTAGTTCTTACAGCCACGTATCTCATATATTGTTTCCCTTCTCGTGTCTCGCGCCATAAAAGTTCAATGGAAGTTCTCTAATTCTCTTATAGTGACTTAAGAGGCACATATGATCTTGTTCGAGTCTTTGGGTGTTTCTCATTTCTTCATATTCATGGTCCGGGAAAATTGGATCCTAGTACCCAAAATGTATCTTTGTATGGTACTCTTCCACTAAAAAAGATACAAAAGTTACTATCCTCCATCCAAGAAATTCTGTCTGAATAGATATCATATTCAATAAGAAGGAATCTTACTTTCCTATCTTCAGAGGGAGAACCTCACTTAGAGATAAAGATCAAGGAGGTTTCTTTCTAGATTCTCTTAATTTGTCCGCTAGTCTCGGTAGTCCTCCTTTGCCTAACCTCATTTGCCTGAAACTATTGAGTCTGCTCCTGTTATTGTTAGAATTCTTGATAAGGATAAGATATGCAAAGAAATACAAAATAAAGGGAATACAGATTGTCCCTAAACAATAGGAATCCAAAAGTCTAACCAAAGCCAGATGTCATAATTTCTTATTCAAACTCACAGGTAGAAGTTGATAATATTTCTTAATCTATTACCATGAACACAAGGTGAACCGGTTGTTGATGATGAATTGGATTTACCCTTTAATGTTAAAAAGAAACCTAGAGAGTATAGAAAAAGGCCCCTATATCCTCTTGATCACTACCTATCCTTAAAAAAATTTCACCATCTCACAAAACCTTTCTTGTTAACCTAAATACCAATCACTATCCTTACTAGTATGTCTGAAGCTATGTCTAATGAAAAATGGAAACAATGTATATAAAAAGGGGCATTGAGAAAGAACAAAACCTGGGAGTTGGTAGTCAAATACAAGACGGATAGGACGATTGAATGATATAAGGCTCTATTGGTAGCAAAAGGATATTCATAGACTTATGGGATTGACAATCTAGAGAATTTTGCTCGAGTTGCAAAAATGAATACAGTAATAGTATTGCTTGCACATGGTGCCAACTGTGGATGAGACTTGCAACAATTTGATGTTAAAAATTTTTTTTACATGGGGATCTAGAGAAAGAGATTTATATGGAGGTTCCACCGGGTTATGATAAGAATTTGGATGCTCACATTGTGTGTAAATTGAATAAGGACCTATATAGACTTGAGAAATTTCCTTGGGCAAGGTTGGAAAGATTTGCAAGGATTATGTTGGCAATATGGTATAAATAACCAAGGTGATTGTGAACTCGTATTTTCTTTCTTATTTTTCATTTGTGCAGATCACATATATATATATATATTATATACACATCATAATAGGAATGTCTAGAGCCTCTATTCAATACTCTAGAAGTTTCTAGGACATTCTATATTTTCTAGGACAATAAGTACGCTATACACCTACCATCATTATTATGCTACATATTCCAATACAGTTAAC